GGTCGCCTGGACAGCAAACATCACCAGGGAGGTTCGTGCAAGGGGGCCCTGCAGTCTTCGGTCTGGACCCATGCCAGTTATTGAACGGTTGCAATGGTGCGCCTAGGAGAAGGCCGAAAATTGGCCTATCGATAGAACGAGTCTTTTGTGTGGAGGGATTTTGCTTCTACAAAGCTCCTTCAATCTCTCAGGCTTGGATTTTCCATCTATTCCCGCTTTTTCCGTTTTTTTTTCATAAAAATTAACTGAAAGCTTTAGCTCCAATTTAGGACTTTTCCGCAGACTCTTCCTTTTTTGCCAATTTCTAGTTTTTCCAGGAACCGGTTTTTCCATCTACTCCCACTTTTTTCGATAATTTTTCTCATGAACCTATCAATTGCTTTCTTCATAAACTTAGGCTTCCCCATCAGAGCCGTCACCTTCGCTGAAATGCATCTGTCTTCGCAGTTTGTAGCTCTCCCATTGCACGGAATCCAACTGTTCATCTTGGAGGCGCCGGTAGTCGCCTTAGCTCAGTGGGAAACGGTCATACCGATATTCCATGACAGTTTGCGTCGTATTTGGCTCTGTTCGGCCGGTGGGAGCCACTCACCCATAATGGGAGCACAGAGAGAAAAATTGTGACGGATCTGTCTGCAGACGTGCGGACGCTGCAGCGACTTTGCGATTATCTGAACGTACCAAATTTTGCACTTAAATCCTAGTAGATAACTGAATATTTCCGGGCAATCTTCCGGGAAGAGTTAGTTGTGGAGAAAGTGAGTTCGCCGTAGTTCCGCACTTGCGTTGCATTGCATGCATTCTATTCAAGCGATTTGCCTATTGAACGATGGATTCGGTCGATTCAACCTCTAATAGTGGGATAGAGGAAAAACAAAGAGTAGGTATTGGAACAAACTGATCTCTGGGCCATTCCTAGGAGAAGTGGGTGGAAGATGATCATTTGATCGGGAAATATATGGAAAGTGGCACTCTCACAAAGATAGCCACATGTAAGGTACGTCACATCACTTGAAACATCCAGCGGTGTGGAGCTAGTGGCTCGAAGTGATGTCTGGCCGTTGGTGGTCGTGCGTCCTGGGTTCGCAGACCGCCATGCATATCCTTCTACCAATTTAGAGCTTTTGCTTGCTTGGTAAAACCATGCTCGGTCGGACCGAATGCATTACAAAACTGGCTTGTTCAACGATCCGATTGGCAACTTCTGAGCTAGGTTGACCGTCATCGATCAAAAACGATCGAACGCAAAAATCAATCGCCCTTCGGCGATCCAACGGCTCGAAACCGGCCGCGAACGATGGTATCTTCGGACACCACCAAAAATTTTAGCAGACCCCAAATCACCGAAGCTAACTCACTTGAGCATCTGCTCTGAAGCGACGGCTCGCACCCTTAATAGAGCACTGGCCCTCCAATATAGCATCCCATCAACCAGCACGTCCCAATAAGCACGGGCAGGTTCAGATCTTGTCAAGTGCGACGTGCCGAATCCGCACTTCAAGTGCCAACCGTATGTGTGAATCAGTAATGGGCCCACTTGTGCGTGAAACGTATCCCGAGCTGGTTTGATGCAGAAAATCTCTGAGGAAGAAACGGCAGACTGATAAGTGATAAAAGTGATTGGCAAAAATTATCTACACACTGAGGATTCGAACCCTCGCTTCTCGCATAATGGCAATTTATAGGGTTGGCGTTGAAACATCTCACATTTCGCTCCTTTGGCATTCTGTCGTTAAGGAGACTGCTTCTGTTAGTGGGAAAAGTCATTGGAAGCTTTTCCTGATGAGCCCTAACCTTTGACGGGTTCCCTGAGCCAGCCCATTTCCACGCCACCCATGGTCACTTACCGTAGTCTTGTACCACCACATCCAGAAATCACTTCTCTTTACTATGACCTCAACGTCGTATCTCAAATGGTTTATTAGGAGCATTCGCATTCTATGGAGGAGAGGTTGCAGAGAGTATACATTAGAGTCGAGTCGTGTTCTCCCCAAGTAACCACTGGGAGTGTATTCATTCAGTCACGTAATAGCTCAGTGGTGGCGTCAAACCTTACGCCATTTCTACACGAGTGACCAAGGATCGGTTCCTGTTGAGGTCTACTCGATAGCTCGCAAGGAATGATTGCTCTTTTATCTTGCTTTTCACTATGAATTTACTAACAAGGGCATAATGAACCATCCCACTGCCGTGATGTACAGGTTTTGCAGAAATGCGAACTATTGTTCCAACCTGCAGTCGAACCCAGGACTGTTCATAGAGCCGTGCAATGATGCCGCTGCACCATTAATGCTCCTAGTAGACACTCGGGTATAAAGAAATGTCTAGCACGGGTGTGTGATGAACGAAACAAAAACCAGGCTTTATTGAAACCAAAATTATTAAGAAATCGATTGAGAATGAAGAATTACTTACTAATACTACCGTAGGAAAGGCAAATACACCCTATCTTCTTGCATTAAAATAGCTAACACCTGAACTCATCTACAATAATCAATTCTATACGAGCAATATTACGATATTCATTGACATAAGTAAGCGATATGAGGAAGACAATCAGATGCAACCAGGGAGCGCAGCGACGTGAAACACATTCGGAAATGGGTATATGGGCGGTCGCATACTCACAATGGAATGTTCGTTTCCTAATAAATTAAATGGATGTCGATAAAGTGATTCGATGTATCAGACGAAACTACTTATATTAAACATTTACGTCTTATAAACAATTAGAATCATGTGCACAGCCGAAGGCAGTAAAGCTGACTAGTAGTGGCTGAATAAATAAATCACTCAACAGCAATCAGGGAAAGAAACACAAATAAACGTATTTAGAAACCCTATTCAACCAACAACAAATACAATTACTTAGAGGTAGTCAATTGAGTTTTCATCTGCTTCACTGAGTCAATCACCAGAGATATCTTTGGGTTCACATCGGCCGATTCCACCTGAAATTCAACAGATTTCTCTACATTTTCCAAAACCAGAAGCTTCACGGTTCACAAAAACAGGCAGGAGAGTTTCAAGGAGTATCGTTATTGTATACCTTAAAAGGAAAACAAATAAAAGGAATTAAACAATCAAAACAATCAAAACTGGCAAGGACGTCAATGTTACCAGTCGTCAAATGCCGTAGTCCCTTATTTTTCTGACCGGATGCCAGAGCAAGGGCATAAAATAGGTAAGCATGCCCCTATGGGCCCTTTTAGACTTCGATGACATGCGTAGTTTCAACCGAAGTCCAACCGACCGACAGCGTTACTAACCGCGCATGATACTGACTGAACGAAATCTGTCCCGCGTTGTCAATACGTGGCCAGCGAAGCTACCTGTCGGTCAGGCGTTTGAAATCGCCCAATGATATAACCGGTTCATGAAGAAAAATAAGGCCTCCACCTTTTCAGTTCTGTTCTCTCCAACAAGCGCTCAAAATATAGCGATGAACAACTCTTGGTAGTACTGTGAATTTCATGGAAAGTGAACAATGAACAAAGAAAATAGCATAAGACTAAGAAAGGAACTAGGACTGAAGGGAAAAAAGAGACTAAGAAAAACTGATTTATGAAAAAAAAATTCCTATTTGTAAGCTTTAATCAGTAAGTAAGTGTGCCTACCTCCTCATATCTGGCCAAAATCTTATCGATTGCACTTGCACCTGCTCCTACCGAATCTCGCTTCTTGTCGCTTCCTGATCCTTTCATATGATGAGCCAAATAATTCGTGCACTACAAATAAGTCCTATACATAGTGCGATACAAGGTGATTATGGAATTCGAATCTTACAATAACGATCCCATATAAAGCTCGCAAATCTGACGGGTTGAGCTTGACTGCTTGTTCATAGTAAGCCTTAGCGAGTTCAATGTTTTCTTGGCCGCCCTGAGTATAACGAATATCCGCCAAACGTCGAAGATACAAGGTGTTGAGGGGCTGAACGATGGTTTCAATAAGTGAAACAACACATCTTCACACACATATACACAAAAACAGTTATCAAAAGATTGATATAATCATGAAAGACTCACGGCTGCTAAAACACACTCTTCCAAGCAGTGTGCAGCTTTTGCAAAGTCTGACTCAGCAAGAAAGAGCTCACTTAATTGAAGCCATGCTTCTGAGTCATTAAGAAATATCTAAAACCATCATATGTAGAGCACTGACGTAAAAAAGAGCTAAATCTTTTACCTTGAGGTAATCGTTGAGCTCACGAATAGCTTCCAAACGCAACCCCTGCGCTAGCAGGACTGCAACTTTCCTTTTTCGAAACGACTGAAAAATTCCGGCATGGATTCGAGAGAAAAACTAATGCTATTATTTGGAAGAATCATGAGATGTATCAATATCAAAATGGTAACGTACATTATTGGTGGGATCTTCTCCTATAAGTCGCTCATATAATGCCATGGCAGTATCAAATCTGAAATAGCTATTTATTAAAATTAAGTCAGTGAACAAGAAATTTCATAAAACAGAACATACTGCTCAGCCGCTTCATGATGCATCGCCTGGAGTCGCAAAACGCGATTACTTTTAGGAAAACGCCGATTCAGGGCCGATATGCATTCGCCGGCTAAATCTAGCCTGGCGCAGTCAAGAGCAGCTACACAAACCTAAACGAATGTTTACATCAGTCAAATGCGCTGTTGAAGCAATTTCGAGAAAAAGCTTAAGAATTCTCAGCTTTTCTAATGAACAGGGACTTGACCGCTGAAAAATCTTTGACAGTTGCAAAGGTAACAGGATAACGGTTGGTAATAGAACAAGAAATGGAAAACAGTGATGACGCTCTATTTAAATCACTCCATTTAAATCATTTAAATTACGGAATTAACACATGAAATATTGNATGCATTCGCCGGCTAAATCTAGCCTGGCGCAGTCAAGAGCAGCTACACAAACCTAAACGAATGTTTACATCAGTCAAATGCACTGTTGAGCAGTTTCGAGAAAAGCTTAAGAATTCTCAGTTTTTCTAATGAACAAGGACTTTACCGCTGAAAAATCATTGACAGTTGCAAAGGTAACAGGATAACGGTTGGTGATAGGACAAGAAATGGAAAAGAGTGATGACGCTCTATTTAAATCACATCATTTAAATCATTTAAATTACGGAATCAACACATATGAAATATTGTAAAAAAATGATGAAACGATAGTCGAACCTGCTCGTACACCATCCACAGTTCATCGCCAAGGAATGATGGTGAGCGACTTACAACGTGTTCCCACAATTCTACGACTTCTTCACTTCGTCTGCTGCTTGTTTCTCTCCATTCACGGAGCTGCCGTCGACCTACTTGAAAAAAATAACACGTAGACTAACTTTGATGACAGAAGACTACAATATTAGAATCCAGTGCTTCCCGAAGGAAAGATTCCAAGTCAATTTTATCGACTGGCAACCAAGACCCTACAGATCCTCACTTTTCCATGGGCATTCTTCGACAGAGAAACTACACTATTTGCGTATAAATAATAAAGTTCTCAGAAGAAAACTGCCTAATTTTAGCAGCTACGGGGACTGTAACGTCATGACAACATGACAACTTCATACGTCATGACACGGAGTGGGTCCCTATGGAGAGGAAGGAGGAGCGATGGACAGCGAACATCTTATCTATGAAAAAAAAGTGAAAATGTGGTTGGGGGTGTCAGCGCCTTTTTGTGCCCTGCCACCAGGAAGGCACAGAGCATAGGGACCGCGCTAGGGCGCAGAGATGGTTTCCTCCCCTTCTAAAAGTAGAGCTCCGGGATAGGAGAGATGAGATGAGACTGCAGAATGCGAAATACGATTATTCTGAGGAAACCCTGGCTCCTAAGTAGCCACCTAATGGCGTTGTCAACGCAAAATACGGTTTAGAAAAGCCACGACCAAAGCCTAACGTCCACTCTTCCATGACACATGCCATTGAAAGGACGGAAGGGGGAAGGGATTCTCAGAGTGTTATTCACATACCGTACTTCACTGTGACAATACCATCTAGCGACGACTCAAGAAAGAAAAACACAATACGAAATTAGAGGCACACCCAAACTATTGAGATTCAAGAATTATTTTAAAAAAGCCTACCTTCAAACGATACGTTAGTCCAGTCTTTCCCATCGGCGTAACCCATGCTGTGAAACACAAATTTAGACACAATACTTGGTTGTGGGATTCAGAAGAATAAATACAGGCTTGATACCTCATATGAGACAGCTCATCCAACAAGAAAACGAGAATTGTTGAGAAAACGAAGTTTATTTATTATACCTCACATCTATTATTACCTTTATTACAATTATGCAGCGAATCGAAAGAAATGACGAAAAAACAACAACGGGTTTGTAAACCTATAGTAACCGAAATAGTAAAGCTGATCGAATCTACAACTAAATCAACGTATTATATCTGACTACTAAGAAAATATTGAGCTGAGGCTGGAAATTCAAATGAAATATGCCCAAATCAAAGGTATGCAAAGACAATGTCTAATTAATCTGTAATAACAAAACCTATGAATCTCTAAGATTCGAAAATTACTGTTTCTTCCCGTTCATAGTAGTTAGTCCATTGATGGGTAACGCCACTCAGTGAGAGGCACACTGGTTTCCTTGATGGTAAGTGGAGACGTCCATCTGAGGCCGTAATGAGGACCTCCTGCTTTATCATTCGTTCCTGAATGAGAAAATTCTTCAATGCTACCAAATATCAAGCAACGGCCCTTGTTTTGGAAGGCCGCTCAGTAACAATGAATTAAACCTTTCCTCACCAGACATTCGTGCTCCTCCGAATGGTTGTTGTCCTACTACGGAACCAGTAGACTTATCGTTAAGGTACATATTTCCAACAGCATCACGCAAGATGTCTCGAGCACTGAACAATTGTAATGAATAAAAACACTCATTCTCATGTTTCTAAACTAAAGTAAACTAAAGTAAAATGAAAAAGCTTTTCAAACAAGCAAAGCTGTAAAGGCAATAAATAGCGTAAAATCTTCTCAAATGGCAAAAAATAATACTTACTGATATAGGAAGTCCTTGTCCTCTGAAAATACGGCACCAGTAAGCCCAAACGGAGTATGATCCTGAAACAGAATAATGAGCACAGCTGTGCATATGGCGTTACAGAATCGCCGCGATTTTGCGTACTTTGCGAATAATTCGCATCTCCAAAAGAAACTTAAAACCCTCCTTCACAAAGGCTAATGTTGTAAACTAGCCGTTAGGACTACATATTAGGAATGGAATGAAGTCGTGCTCTAGATAAAATTAATTGAAAATCTGTT